TGTGAACCAGGGATAAGTTGTTGAAAGGATGACCAATAACATCTGTAAAGTGTCTAGCACCTACTAGGTACTTAGAAAGAAGCAACTTGTATTATTATCACTGGTGCCTAAGAGACGGGGCTGTCTCCACCTCCTCATGGGGCAGCAGGCAGGCTCCCATAGAAGTCAGGGATAGGCCTGGGTGTTGGCAAAATGCATGACCTTGGGCAATCACTTAAATCTTCTGGGCTCTGTAAAATGAGAATAACAATGCCTCTCTCTTAGACCACGGTAAATGAGATGGTCACATAAAGTGCTTGGCATGGGGCCGGTATTGGAGCAAGTAGCCCATAAATTGTAGCTATTCAATTCCCATTAATGATTATTCCAGAACTCTCCACCTCACAGACTCTGGCACCACTTTTCTGTGTCCACAAAGAATCTACTATGTTCCCGTCTCCTTTACACAAGGTGTTTTCAAATCCTCCCGCCAGCTGGAGCCCCTACAACAACCTGTGAGGCAGGGTGGGTGCTTCTCTCACCACATGCACAGGAGTCTGGTGACTTGCCCAAGGTGACTTATCTGGGGACTGTAGCCACGAATTTCTCCAATCTCCTCCTGCCCCACAGAAAGTCTGCACGTCACTGATTCAGAGTTGAAGGGAGTAATGTGTGAATTTGTTTATTCATTCATTCAACAAATATTTCTTTAATATAGGCACCTATCATGTGCCAGGCACCGTTCAGACTGCTAGGTCCACAAGGATCAGCCAATATGTCCTCTAGTGAGAAGCTGAGCCCAGAACACAACTTCCCTGCCACCAAACGCATGCAAACTGAGGTGAATGTCCTCTGACCCCCAAACATTCAGGCCTTCCCTACTCTAAGCTCCATGGACTTCTGGAGGACTCAGAGGGCAGTCGCACATGCCACCTTGCCCACGTGGCTGGAGGTCACTCTCCTCTCAAGCATGTCCTCAGTCTTCTGTACGGCTTCATGTTACAGATGAGAAAACTGAGGCACCAAGGAAGGGAAATGACCTATCCAGGCCACTCAGCAAGGACAGGAGGATCCCAGGACTGGTGTCCAGGTGTGACATCTCTCCAGGACAAGTTGCCTCTTAACCACAGCACAGGAAACTGATGAGTGCAGGGACAGTGCTGGGGACCTGCAGTCAACGGTCTTCTTCCCGAGTTCCCTTATCTGGGCCCACCTGAAAACCCCCAGAAGCAAATGCCAGGGTGGCCACACGACTTTCCTTCCCCACCCACACTGCTCTTGAATAAGTTGGGGAATGCCACAGAAATGCCACAGGAAAAAGGTGACCATTGTGTGTGGACTGCAGATATTCGATTTAGAAAGAACATCCCTCACTCAAACACAAACATAAAATAGCTCAGAAATGGAGTAAAAACACCAAAATATGTGCCCCACTTAGGAAACATCACATGGGTCTGTTATGAAGAATGTGGTGTGGAAACCCTGATTGGACCCCACTGCCTCTGCCTTCCCCATGGGTCTAGCCCCCTACAGCTCTTAGCAGTATCACCTGCTCTCTTTTCCTGGCTTCTGCATTCTTTGCTGAGACACTGGCAGTTGTAGGTGCCTTATTGTTCCTTTGCTTAGCACTTGGGGCTGAGAGGTGGCTTTGGACTTTTTCCTCTCTCCATGTGGCTTCTCGGCAGTCAGTGGAAAGCCTAGAGACTGTTCTGTTTGTGCAACCAGGTCGGTGACTACAGCAGCTTGCGGAGTTGAAGTTAGCATGCTAGGCACGGAGGGAATACTCTACCTGGGGTACTCCTAATGTACTACCACACATTTTCGGCTCTCCACCTTCATGGGAGGGTATCATTTCCTGGTCCCCTTGTGGTTGGATAGGCCCATGTGACTAGTCTAATAGGAGTGAGCCCAAGCATTTCATTGCCGGTGAAAGACCTTCTAGGGTTCTTTTTCTCTCTGCCATGGAGTATATTCAAGAAGGTGACTGCTCCATCAGCCTGGCTCCTTAAATGAAGACCAGCCCCCAGCTGATCCAGGATGCTCATATTAATTAAAATCAGAAATGAACTTTTGTGGGTTTGGCCTCTAAGATTTAGGGGTTGTTTGTTACTGCAGCATAACCTACTCCATCCATCTTACACAGAGTAGGATATTCTCTAGATATTAGTCTACCCACTTCCCTATAAAACCTTTACCCTCCTTATCATGATAACCCTGCAAGAATAAAGGAAAGTGAAGTAGAGGCAAGAACACTTTCCCATTGTCCTGTAGAATTGTTTTCTCTTTAAGTCCCAAAGATGGGTGAACATTCAGTCAAATTTGAAAGGAGAAGAAAGTTCAGAGTGTTGTTCTCTCTGGCCTCACTTTCCTATGAAATAGGAAGCTAGGTGATGCATGATGAGAGCAGGTGGGGCTAGCAGCCTGAGAGCCACCCAGGTTAGGAGCAGATGCCATGAGCACTGAGAGACAAGAGACGAGGACACTGACCAGGGACCAGGACACAGGGTGCCAAGCAGCCCTGCGACCCTGCTGAGGTTGTAACAGAGCAGCTACACAATCCCATTCAGCATCCCAGGGACAGTGGCAGAGATGGCAATTCGCTGGATTCATTGGCAGGGGGACGGGGCGGGGGTACAGAAAGTTAAGGAGGGAGATGTGGCTAATGAGGGACACATGATTTAACTGGCTGATGGAAGGGAAGGAGGTGTAGCTGACAGTGGCCCTATCAAGTAGATTCTACCAGTATCCCCATTTTACAGGGGAGAAAACGGAGGCTCAGAGAGGGGATATCTCTTGCCCATGCTCAGATAGCTAAGGTCAGAGCCAGAACTGACCCAAGTTGGGCTGACACAAAAGCATGGTGCTCTCTCAGTCAGAAGCCATTTCACTCTCTCTAGCCCTTCATCGGGCTATAGTCCTACACCTTTCATTCTACCTTTAATTGTGAATTCCTGAAGAGCAGAAATCTATAATAATAATAATAATAATAATAATAATAATAATAGCAAGTGCTACCATTTATAGAATGCTTACTACATGCCAGGCCATGTTCTAAACACTTTACACTCATTATTCAAGTCTCACTAAACTCTGTGAGGTAAGTATTGGAATTATCCCCATTTTACAGTTAAGGAAGCAACTCAGTTTGAGCTGAAATTATAATGAACATAATTCATTAATATTATAACTATATAGTTCAATATGACTCATTTCCTCTATAATCCCATTTTATTTTTCCATTTTGAAACATTCTCAGAAAGGGACTGTCTGCAGGCGTCATCAGATGTGAAAGGAGTCCACAGCGCTATGAAGGTTAGGCAACCCTGTGGAGGCAAGTGCTAGGGTTCCAGGGGCAGGATTCTGTCTCCCATCTATGCCACAGAACCTTGAGTTCCTGGCTGGTACTGGATAAGGGACCCTATCCCATCTTCATGCAAGGATGGGAATGAATACTAGCTACTTTAACCCATCCACACATCATAAATACATAGATATCATGAATACTTTTATTTCAGTAGTGTAAGCCCATGTGTGACATTCATCATAATACACAAGTCACTTCTTTCCCCAACTAAAAAACAATGTTAGCTCCCAGTGTACTAATTAGAAAAGCATTAGTTGTTGATTGCAAATTGGGATAACAGGAGGGTTTGCAGCAGCCACCTCCGACTATGATGTTGGCTGGCCCCCACCCCAGACTCTGCATCCTTGAGAGCTGATTGGCTGACCCCACCCCACTGGACTTGCTTTCTTAGCATCTGCACACTGGCTCAGTCCAGGTAGTGCTTACATAGTATTCCCTACTGTATATGACCGATATGAAATTATACACAGACTATGATCTAAAGTTTTATAAAGTAAATTCTAGACATCCAAACAGATACACCAATCACAAACCAGGCAGAGCCCTCTGGATTTCAGACAACCCAGGCTATTGTGGGACTTAGAGACAAGGTAGCCGGGGCCAGTGCTCCCTGCTCAGGCCAGACAGCTGCTCTCCTTGCCAGTTGGCCAGGGCCAAGGGCTGAGCCTCAGGACAACCAGGTACCTGTCTTGGCACTGCCCTGATGGGCTGAATGACCTTCTGTAAGTTGTTGACAATCTGAGCCTTGGCTATCTTATCCTCCAAATATGGGGCTGTACCAGATCCAAGTTCAGTCAACAAACAACCACAAAGCACCCACTGTGTGCCTGGCACTGTGAGGAATGCAGAGGAGCTAACATTCTAGTCAGGGATCTTGGCCTGGAAGCAATTAGCTATTACACACAGCAGAAAGAAGTGTGAGTGGAGACGGATGTCCCATGTTGTGTTCTGGGGCCACAGAGGAAGGAGTCAGCAGTCTTGCATGGGGCTGTGCAGCCGGCTTCAAAGAGGAAGAGGCTATTTTTGAACTGGGCCTCAAAGCATGAGTAGGAGTTCCGTGGGTGGGGTCTAAGGGCAAGCACCTGTAAATGCAGGGAGCTGGAATGGCGAGCACCCTACAGAGGCCAGTGTGGACTGTGGAGCTGGGGGCTCCAGTCCTGGTCACTTCCACATCCCCCGTTTTGGAGACGAAGGAAGAATCCTGAGAACCCGTATTTTTAACAAGCTCCCAAAGTGATTCCAACATGCAGGCAGTGGCTGCTTTGTGTAGAGATGAAAATTAATAAGTGTACAAAAATGAACTTGACCCCAGGCAAGTCCCTCTTTCTCAAGATATCTACCCATCTTTCAAGTGCTGGATCAGACTGGTGGTTTTCAAACTGTGTGCCAGAGAACCCCAGAATCTCCCTAGATCTCCCAGACGCTCCCTCAGAGAGGAGAAGCGAAGGTCGGAGAGAGCAAATCTCTGAGCCCCTATGCACCCTTCTTAGATCTTCTCTCCTTTTATCTGCTTGCTATCACACACTGTGCTTTTATCTGGTATTTTGTTTGTAGTCAGGTTTCTCTGGCTACAAAGAACTTTTAAAACCACTGACTTGGATGACCCCCAGGAATCTCTAAGGAAAAATTTTTTAATTCCTTAAAGGCAGGAACCTACCTTTGTTGAGTATTTCTCAAACAAGTATGAACAGAGACCATTAGGCTGTTTACCAGAAGCAAGTTATTTTATCATCATCATTTAAAATATTTTGCTGTGATCCAGAAATCAATGAGTGGAGGGGGAAAATGTGGCATAGCAATGCAATGGAATACTATGCAACCTGTAACAAACAATGTTTTTGAGAAATAGTTAATATAATGGAAAATTAAGTGAGAAAAATCAGATACAAAATTGTACATAGACTATGATCTCAACTATAGATGTTACACATCAAAATTCTTGGACAGGGTGGTGGTTCCTTGAAAAATTAAACATAGAATTACTATACAATTCAGCAGCCTACTTCTGGGTATGTATATAAAAGAATTCAAAGGAGACTCAAAGAGGTATTTGTATACCAATGCCCAACCAGCATTATTCACAATAGCCAAAAAGGTGGAAAACAACTCAAATGCCCATTGATGAATGAATGGATAAACAAAATATGGTACATACATACAATGAAATATTATTCAGCCTGTGTGTGAGATCCAAAGGCAAAAAAAAAAAGCGGGTTCCACTTCAGAGATGAAGAAACAGAGGCTCAAAGAGGTTAACTGGTGTATTCAAGGCCACACAGTTAGGAAACAGCCAGTTTTAGGGTTTTCTAAAACTCCCCTGGCATGGGCTGAGGAGATGTCCCGGAAATACCAGCTGGGCCACTAACTCATTTGTTTAGTTAGTTGTTTACCTCCTGCCTCTTTCCTTTAAAAACAATAGGTTTTCCAACTCATCTACAAAATGAGAAGGAAATTCCAACACACCCTTTAACATGGGAGAATTTTTAAGACATTATGTTCAGTGGAATAAGCCATCACAAAAAAGGACAAAAAAATGTATGATTCTACTTAGATGAGTTACCTAGAGCAGTCAAATTCAGAGCAGAAGAGTTTAAATGGTAACTTTTATGTTATGCTATATATATTTTACCACAATAAACTACAGTCGTGTGGTAATAGTGATGAATTTTTATGCAATGAGATCATGAGAGCGATCACTTTATCCTTTCTACTTCTCTGCTTTTTCCAAATGTTCTACAATGAGAATATATTACTTTTAAAACCAACCAAAAAAGCTATTTAATTAAATATATCTGCTGGTTCTCTGACACTTTCCAAAACTGCATTGCTGTAATTCATGTAAGTGTAAGCAATACTTTCTGTACTTAATTAATAAAAGGATGCCAGTATTCAAGGATGCCAACTAAAGTATGCCCCAACCCGCTCAGTCAAAAGAAATGACAGGCAGAGTGGTCCTCCTTCCTAAGATTAGTTGTTGTCGTATATATTTAAATGAATTTCAAATAAAAACGGAACCAAAATAAATCCTCTAATAAGCCTCCCAAGAAACTATCTGGCTTGAAAAAGCTCAAACACAAACTGAAGAGAGAAAGAAAACTATAGAAAAGTGGGGATGGCCAATGTTCTTTTAGGATATTAACTCACTGCAGCTGGGAGAGTGACATTGTCAGTGAATTTCTATCCTCCGGTAAAACGTTCTTGTGTAAAATGAATTCAGAAAGCAGAAGGGGCTCACCACTTATAAACAATGCAAATCCATTTCCTCCAACACACCCTACCCCAGAGAAATGTGGAACTAACATTTAAAGAATTCTGCTCTGCAGGGCAGCCAGTGCGTCTGCCTGCCAGGGTGCCCTCTGTCCAAGCCACAATGGTTCACCTTCCCTGGCCCCTGCACCCTCTGCTCAGGGCTGGCTCAAGGGCAGATAGACCAAAAGGTAGCCTCAAGGAGGAGGACACTGTGGCTACACCCAAGTGTGGCCCCTCACTGACTATATGGCCTTTGGCGCTTCAGTGTCCTTATCAAACCAGTGGGAAGAAGGGCACGCAGAGTTGTCCTTGCAGGATTGTTGTGAGGGTTAAACGGTGCTGCCTGAGTGTCTGCTAAGATGTTGGATGCATAGTAGGTGCTCATAAACTTCCTTCTTTATGTCCTAAAAGTTCACTGTCCAACATTTACACGTGTCTTGGTGGGGCACTGCAGGGCATTGGCTTGTACCAAGTGTAGTTAATGCTGAGTGGCAAATTGCAGGGTTACGGTAAAACAATGGGGTGGAGAGAGGATCCTTCAGACCTGAGGTTCAAGGAAGACCCTGGAGGAGGTATGGGAGGGAAGCTCGGGCTCCCACATTGACTGGCAGGCACAGGGCCCTTTCACAGGCAATGTGTGTGAGATCCAAGAGCAGAAAAGCAGGTTCCACTTCAGAGATGAAGAAACAGAGGCTCAGAGAGGTTAACTGGTATATTCAAGGCCACACAGTTAGGAAACAGCCAGTTTTAGGGTTTTCTAAAACTCCCCTGGCGTGAGCTGGGGAGATGTCCCGGAAATACCAGCTGGGCCACTAATTTGTTTAGTTAGTTGTTTACCTCCTGCCTCTTTCCTTTAAAAACAATAGGTTTCCCAACTCATCTACAAAATGAGAATACTGCCTCAGGACCTTTGCACATGCTCTTCCCTCTTCTTGGGACACCTTTTCCCAACCCCCCTCACAGCCATTCACCCTCCACCTGTGCTTTTGGTTTCAGCCACACTGTCATTCCTAAGGAATTCTCCCCAGGGCCTCCCAATTCTCCTGGGTAGCACCCTGTTCTTGTCCTTTAGGGCACTAACCCCTATCTGGATGCACATGTGTGATTATTCTCGACAAGGAGTCACAGAATCCATGGTATTTGTTGTATGTTGATTCCATAAACATTGATTCAAAGGCCAACTCTATATAGTTTTAAGAAAGTACTACCCTCCCCATCCACCTCCACCCCGTTTCTCAGACTCTCATATCTGAAACATGGGAGGTGGCTGGGGCCCTTGTTAGATTTCTGCCAGCTCACACAGTCTGTGATTCTATCATCCACCCCTCCCCCCCAAAAAAGTCAACAACAAAGAAAATAAACCAAACCAAACCCAAAACCATTATGATTCCAGCAAGCTATGTGACCCAGGACAGGTTCTTACATTCTCTGGGCCTCAGTTTTCCTGTCTATCAAACGAAACACTTGGGCTCAATCTTCTAGGATCTTCCCACCTCTAACAATCGTAATTCCTACAAGGAAGGCTCCACCCTCCCCTTGCCCTTCACTTTGAGCTCTTAGTTCAGCCCAGGCACACAAACAGGAAGTGACATCCAGGAGCCACATAGCTGCTAGTTTCTCTGCAGCAGGGGCACCGATGCGGGAGCAGAATTTCTAAACTTTGCAGCTAAAGCCAGGGCTCCATGCCCAAGACTTTTCACAAACGGTGTGTGGGGAGGGCGCTGTCGGTATCTGCTGGGCCTCCCAGGCCACTGCCACCCTGGTGCATTCACAGGGTTTACCTTCCAATCCCTGCAGAGTAACAGACTGCTACTCTGATGATTGATTGAAGGTGGTAAAACCCCAAGACACAGCAGGAGATGGAGTGCAGGGCTCCTGGGCTCCAGCGAGCCCCTGTGTGACCTTATGGAAGCTCCGGCCCCTCCCTGGGCCTGGGTTTCCCAGGGGGACGAAGTTGGGGCTGTGCCAGCTCCCCCTCACTCTGATGTCTTCTCTCTGAAGGCAGTGTAGTGCCATAATGAAGGGCACCATCTCCTTGCCCGTGTCTGAGTCCCAAACCTTTCCCTTACCATGTGGCCTAGGAAATTTCTTAATCTTGCTGTGCCTCAGCATCCTCATTTGTAACACTGATGAAAAGGCAGGGCCCCTGTAAAGCTCCCAGAATAGCATCTGGAGTGAGTGAATGCCCAGGAAGTGCAAGCTCTTTTTGTTTTATAATTACTCTTGATTCTGCAGCAGGTCCCTTTCCTGGTTTGACCACCTGCAGAAGGGCAAGGAGAGCCCTTGTAGACCACGTCCAAGCCCCATCCCTCAGAGAAAGCACATCTGAATCTCAGTTTGAGACAAACATGGCAGGAAATGAAACCATAGGGGAAGGCAGAAAACCCTGTGATGTGCCCCAGGTTTGAGGGCCAAAGCCTCAGGCCACACCCAGACGCAGTAGCAGAGGGAGGGTCCGGACCTTTCAGAGAGGAGAGGAGAGCAGTAAGACACAGAGCCCGGGCCGGCAGTATCTCTGTGGCTACCTCTGCCCTGAACCTCTCGGATAAAGAGGGGGCTGGACCCAGTCATCTCGGACCCAACAGATAATTCTGGCTGACAGGACTGTTGGCCTCTGACCCCCAGAAACATAGAGATGTGGGTGGCACCACCTCCCTTGGGTCCTCAACGGGAAGGTCCGGGTGCCAGCCCAGATTGCAAAGAGAAGGGACTCCAATACCTGCTTCTGCCAGGCCAACTGCTGTGAGAATGAAAGGAGCCCTGACCACATCCCCAAGGGACGACCCCAGGGGTGTGCCTCTCAACAGGCGCTACAGACAGATGCTGTCTGTCCCTCCACGAGGAGGAGGCACAGAAATGGATAGTAATTCATTGTTATTGTATTTTACCAAAGTATCAGTCCATGGAGCACTAGGAATAAAGAAAGGAGGAAAGGACTGGCCTTCTACCATGCTGCCCATAGACACATTGTCCTGCCCTTAAGGGCCACCCATTTGGCTCCAGTGGGCTCTGTGTTCAAGGTAGAGCATGTCACCCAGTGGCAAATGCCTTGGGCCTCCCAATATCTGCTGCCACTGAACAGGCTGGGGCAGCCTGGCTTTCCTTCAGATAGCCCAGAGGCTGCACAGGGAATAGGCAGGGACATTCAGGGAAGCCATCTGCACTGTGTTAAAAGGGTTCACAGGGGAAAAGAGGAAAACCTAAGAACCAGTGTGCTAGCTCTGACCCTTGAAGATGCTCAGGGGAGGATCTGTTTGGCCATGCTGCATAGAGGGGTCTTTATCAGATATAGAGACGTTTTATAGCTGAAGGGAACGCTGGAGGTCTCTGCTCAAACCCTTTTACAGATGAAGAAAAAGGCTCAATGCAAGTGTACTTTAGAGCAGAGGCAGGATTTGAACCCTTGAAGGCTCCTTGCCCTACCTCCATTCACTGGGTCAACCAAAGGATACTGAGGGCCTATTGTATGCATAAGTGTTCAGTGGTGAACCAAACAAGGAAGTACTCTGTTCTCACTAGAGCTTGCATTCTAGTTGGCAAATAAATAACATTAAAATTTAAC